ACACACACACACACACACACACACACACACACACACACATATATATATATATATATATATATATATATTTAATAGGCTAACTGAAACATTTAATTATATATTTGAATATTCTGTGATAGAATGATTTGTTTCATTTTATTTCAAGGTGCATTTAATTTAATATTTCATAAGGTTTTTAATTTTAAGGCATATTTAATTTCAGGTGGTATTTCATATATTTAATAAATACATTTATTTCACACCTTATTTACTTTATTTACTTATACTTACATTTTATTGTTTATTTATTAATTGCAACATTCCATGCCGTATTTCATAATTTCATTATTAAAAAAAAATAATTTTTATTCATTATTTACTGTAATATTGTTTTAATATCTTGCATATACTTTTCAAAATAGGCCCTACTGAAAAAATACACTACGCCTATATAATACAATAAATGCCATTGCTATGTGAGAGAAATTGCCTGATATATAAATATATAGAATTGATCATTTGTGACAATACAAAACTAATAGCATGTAATAAAGCTATATTTAAATCTGTATGTCTTTATGTCTGTAGCCTACAGTAGCTATACTTGCCAATCATGCACATGGTCATGCTAGTGCAGTATAGCATCAAATATTTACACAATTACTCAAATATTATATCTAGTACTGTGAAGGCCTATGTGTAATCATCTGAATACATAGTTAAAGCTAAAATTCCTGCATTTTTACTCTCCTCCAGAGCAAGACGAGCGCACCAGAGAAAAGACAGAGCAGTGGAGAGAGTTTCACTACGACGACCTCGACCCATCTTACGAGTACAACCGACACACGGTGTAAAACAGCGGATAACTACAACAGAACGGGTAGAGAGCTTTACAGTACTTTACAGTAGATTTCTGTGAAGGCGTTTCGGCACAATGTCTGCAGTAAACATGCACACAATAGCGCAAAAGAACGTAGCCTTATATGTGTATCCATGCATGCAGAACGTATGTAATCCATGTATCATAGTTCTTTAAGAAGGTCTCATGAAAGTGCGTATAAATAGTACATCAAATAAAAACGAAAACTCGTGGTATTGATACGCAAAAATGGACTTTGGCGTGCATATGATACGCATGTGTTTGGCGTGCATATAATACGCAGTTTTCGCGTGCATATGATACTAAATTTGTTGGCGTGCATATGATACGCATGTGTTTGGCGTGCATATAATACGCAGTTTTCGCGTGCATATGATACTAAATTTGTTGGCGTGCATATGATACGCATGTGTTTGGCGTGCATATAATACGCAGTTTTCGCGTGCATATGATACTAAATTTGTTGGCGTGCATATGATACGCATCTACCCCACAACCCTAATCCTACCCACTGCGTATTTATTTGGCGTACTATTTATACGCACTTTCATGAGATCGGATTGTTTTTTCATATGTAGGCTTTCATAACCCTTACTGTATGACTAAACTCGCCAATCGTTATTTTTATGGCTAGTTTAAAATCTATTGAACATTTCGTCACACACTATAATGACGCAAGTCATTTAATCATTCAAAGTAACCCGATTTTTATTAATTTTGTGCTGGGACAATGTAAAGTGTTATATTTAACACAAACATTTCATATTGTAAATCTTTGTAACAGCTACTTTAGGTTGCATCACAGTAAGTCAACAATAAATCTGGTGTTATCTTTGTCTTTAATGAAAATTTGAAACCATACACTCATCACAGAACAAATCTACTAGAGAAAACACTGCTTACATCATTTCTGCGACCTGAATGAAAGAACCAGCACGCAGCTGCTAAATTCTGAGGGCCGGTATGAAGACCAGGATGACATGCAAGATTTAGAGCAGAAACTGTTTGAATCTCTCACGGTAGTATATCAGTGGACACATCATATCAAAACAGCTTCAGTTAAACTTGGAAAAGTGCGATGTGTGAAATTTGAATCGTTTTCGCTTCCCTGAAACACAAGATCAGCAAATACAAATGTCCGTCACTGAAGCTGGTACTTTTCATATAGATCTGTGATAAAACAAACACGTTATTGGTCAAGCGTTTATCAATTTCCTCATTAGCCACAATTGAAAGAACTAAATTATGATAACAGTTTACATTACAGTTTCTATATTACATATATTTAATAATAATAATAATGTACTATTAATAGTAAGTGGCAATAGCAATAAATAGCTGAATTTACACAAAATATTACAATGCAACATAATCACTGCAATGTAAAGTGTGACCAAGTCATTTTAAAAAAGCAAAGCTTACTAAATAAATCCAAAACATACACAAAATAGTACTTTTCACCATCATTTTATACCTTCAGAAACATTTGACACAAATCACTCCAGATTCTTTCACTGATATTAACAAATTGCTGATAAAAACGTTAAACGACACACTACTGTTTGTTTATACAATATTCACATCCTTCATTCTCTGATTAATAAATGCCAGACGCATCCAGGACCGAATTTCATGTATATACCTATTGGATGACAATAAACGTGGCTATTGGTTTAAAGCCTGTATTTGAATCTCACATCCTTTATCGTTTGGTTCTTCAAAGCAGCAGCAGGTAGAAATAAAGCAGCAAAACGTTACGAGAACTCTTTAATGAATGAAAATCGTTTTATCTACACCTTTTTATCTTCTATTAAGACTCAGAGCAGATGTTCTTCATCTCAAGGTTCGTAATCTCCATTCAACAGCCACATAAAACAGTCCCCTGAAATTCACACAGGCCACTATTTATGAATCGGTCTTGTTTCATAGCACTCCATTGGCTTTCCAGAAAGGAAAACTGGTTTGATTGGGCGACTGTGGACAATGGAAGTTAAATAGAAGAAAACACCTCTTTCCACAAAGTGCAACAGTCAAGTGAGCAGTCTGACAAGAAGTGACGTCATTTGGAGCCAGTGATGATGGTAGTGACCGTGGATGGCCGCGTGTGCCGCTCAGACGAACCTAGACAAAGATAACACCCTCCTCAAGGGCTGTTTGACAATACGACATAATACAACACACAGCACATCACTGCTGATGAGTAACTCAAGTTGGTCAACAAAAGTCTTGTGAGTTTCATGAAAAATTAAGGCAAAAACTTACAGTCGTTGCGGTTGACTGAGGAAACATCGACCGACTGACTCTTCCCTGGCATGGATGTTAGATTCTGCTTCCTGTGTTGAGAGGAATCCATACTGCTGCCGAGCTGAAGACGCCTCATATGTCTGATCACTGCGGTAGCGTTAAACGCTTGCTGTGAGAGAAGAATACAGAATTTGAAATCACCTTTCATGCTGTTCAATGTAAAATTTCTTTTTGGAGGAAGGAGGAAAGGAAGTGGTCACTTACTCGCCATTTTGCTTTGGCAAAGTTCTTCTTCATCTGTCGGCTGACTGATTCGTGGATGTTCTTACAGAGCGCAGTATCACCAGCTATCCTGCAATCAGAGGAGAGTCAGCAGTTGGACATCCTGTCGTATCATCTGGCATCCAGAAGGAGGCAGAGTCTTGAGTACAACTATATAACGTAAAAACATGAAGCTTTGTGCTCCAGTGTTATTTTAGTATCATTGAGATACTATTATAGTTTCCATTTATATTTTAAATAAGTTTAATTTTTCCATTTTGTTGTTTATTTCATCTTTTAATTTTATTATAATTATGTTTAATTTTCATTACTTTTTTTTTTTTTAAATGTCTATATTTTTATTCATTTGTATTTTAGTGTTAGGTTTAGTTATTTTAGTACATTAAGTTAAAATGAGAAATGTTGGCTACTGGCTAAAATAAAATACTGAAATAAAAATAAAATAAAAGTTAATGTTCAAGTAATTTTAAAAAAATTGATTCAGTTTTGTTTTAGTACACTAGTAACCCTGTGCTCAATAACATCATGAGATGAATATAATTACACTTCTTGCAAGGTAATAATTAATATTATATAATTTATTATATGTAATTTTTAAGATTTATATATATACTGTATATATATACACACATACATACATCTTTCATGCTCACCATGGCTGCATTTATTTGATCTAAAATTTAAACATAAAATACCAATTTTTTAATTTTAATATATTTTAAAATGTAATTTATTTCTGTAATGCGATGCTGAATTTTCAGCAGCCATCACTCCAGTCTTCAGTGTCACATGATCCTTCAGAAATCATTCTAATATTCTGATTTGTGCCTTGTCAGGATTCAGTGATGAATTGAAAGTTCATATTCAGAAAAACAGCATTTATTTGAAATACAAACATTTTGTAACAAAAGTCTTTACTGTCACTTTTCATCAATTTAATGCCTACTTTTGAACTGTGTATATAAATTCTTACGTAATATATACAAAAATAGGCCTATTTTAGACCCTTTTTTAGTTTTTGACACTTTTTTTGCATTTTGACATTTTTGATATTCCCAGTTCTCATTATTGTAATGCATATGAATAAATATTATTTATACAGGTGCATCTCAATAAATTAGAATGTCGTGGAAAAGTTCATTTATTTCAGTAATTCAACTCAAATTGTGGAACTCGTGTATTAAATAAATTCAATGCACACAGACTGAAGTAGTTTTGTAATATAATATAATATAATATAATATAATAGGATTATATTATATAATTCAGGATGATTGGACCATTATTTCCCAGTCATTTCAATGTCCTAATTTACCTTATGCTTAATGTTATTAACAGCAACTAAAACCTTAAACCAGCAGCAACTAATATAACCCCAGGGTTTTTCATGCGAAAGGATGTAAACACATTGTGTCTATATTTCTGGTCACTCACCACGGATGCCGAAGAGCCTCTTCACAAGTGAGCCTCTTTTCTGGATCTTTCTGCATCAGGTTACTAATGAAGTCTTTAGCTATGAAACAACACAAATGTGAAAATAAAGACACCTGAATCAGTTGCACAAGGGTGCAGTTCTAATTGTGAAAAATGACACCCTCCTACACTTCCCCAGACACCAGGGAACAGCTTGTGGTGTGGGTGTCGAGTTGTTATTTTCAAATGATGCCGAATGGCCTGGCACCAGAAAATGCTTTTCAACTGCTGATTTATATCTGGCTGCAATACCACAATGTTACTTTCAAAAAACCCTTATTAAAGTGGTGCTCATGGGGAAAAAAAGTCGTGACTCAGTGACAAGTAAACACAAGAAAGCCAAGTCATACTTGATGGCATTTAAGTGGGTAGAAGAGACAAAAAGAGGTGAAGAAAGGTGTCATTTTCTCCAATACTGAAGCTGATACGAATAAATGTAGAGTTTATCTCATTCGTTTCAGTTTATCACTATGGAAGTCAATGGGACCCAATGAGTTGCCAACATTCTTCAAAATATCTTCTTTTGTGGTCTGGAATGACATGAGGGTGAGTAAATGAGGTCTGTTTAATATACGATTCATTTCACAGTGGTTTCCAATGCTATACACACCTGAATCAGAAATATCGTCCCAATACGGGGAATCAAACTCGTATTCGGCCCTCAATATTTGCTCAAAAAGTTTGGAGTCATTCTCGTCATAAAACGGAGGGTATCCACACAACCTGAGGAGGGCGAGGATTCAAAAGTGATGAGTATTTTAAAATAATGACTGTAAAAATGGTTTGGAAAGCAACCAAGTGTGTTTCATATGGGGTTAAAAAACACTCACAAGATGTAAGCAATCACTCCTATAGACCAGCAGTCCACAGCTTTGCTGTAAGGTTTCTGTGCTAATACCTCTGGAGCTGAAGTAATAAAAGACAGAGAAAACAAATGAAATGATACATTTACTAAAGTGTAAAAGGGTAATTATGGATAACTGACCCCAAAACAAATTGAATCATCATTTTGATCATCTCATGTCTATAGCTTTTTTCTGTCATGTAATAAAAAATGAAAGAGATAATTGCAATATTTTATCTCACAATTCAGACTTTTTTCTCACAATTCTCAGAAAAAAAGTCAGAATTGCAAGATATAAACTCGTAATTGTGAGAAAAAAAGTCAAGAACTGTAAGATGTTAACTGACAATTGCAAGAAAAATGACTTAATTGTGAGATTTAATAAATTGCTATTCCTTTTTTTTTTTTTATTATCCCGTTTTGGAAACAAATTTGCTTCTTAACCACTTTTTTTGTGCTTTTTTGGACTTGACAGACAAGTACACATTATCACTTCATAGTATACAATTTGCACAGAAATTGTAAAATATTTTATATTTGTATATTTTATATCAAAATAAATGGATATGAAACATATGAATATGGAAACAAAAACATATGGATTTGAAACACCAAATTTTATATTTGCATGAACTATTCCTTTAAGTATACTGTTAAAAAAAAAATTATCAGTGAAATTTGCGGTAAAAATGGCAGTATGGTTAAAAAATGCATACATTTTGTAAGTGTCATAATACTAACATACCAAATGACTAAAATATCTATTATTTTACCTTTACAATACAATGACAAATACTTTAAAAACACAGGTGGTAAAGAGAAATGACACTAAATTGATGCAATATTTATTAATAAAACCCTTATGTACATAACTGATCAGAAAAAAAAACTTATATAAGACATAGTTATTTCAGTGAACAACCATCAAATGGGAGAACTCTAGGAATGTCAGTTTATGGTTTTTCAGTGTACAGTTACAGTATAAGATGACTTGTTCTTTTTCACTTTTTAAAAAACTGTATATTTAACAGTATTGTACTGTAACAGTATAGATCTATTAGTTTTTTTTTTTTTTTTTACCATATAAAGAAACTTACCGTTAACCAATTAACAGTTTTTTACCAATAAAATGACAATCATTTTATTAAATCTTCAGATTCGGTGCAGAATAACACTGATATTTACCCACATATCCCGGCGTTCCACAGGCTGTGGACATGATGTCATTGGCTGCACCCTCCATCTTGGACAGCCCGAAATCACTTATCATAATCTTGGATTCTTCATGTGGGTTATAATAGAGCAGATTCTCTGGCTGTCAGGAGATGAGAGAAGGTGATAAGGTTTAAAAGTCACAGGGAGTTATTTTACACCGTACGTCTTGTTTCCACTGAAGTGGAAGTGAGTGATCGCAGTGCGGTGTCCTTTCATGCCTCATGTTCCAGCTTCCTATATACTGTATAGTGAAAGTATATCGATTTGTTTTGGTGTGAAGGAAATCAGTCAAGGGAAATCATCACCTTCAGGTCTCGGTGGACTATCCCCAGTGAATGCAGGTAGTTAACTGCATCCAGAACCGGCTTGATTAACGCGCTGGCATCCTGCTCCGTGTAGAAACCCCTCTCTACGATACGATCAAACAACTCCCCACCTGACACACTGAAAAATAAAAGAAATCTGTTTTTAACAAATGTTTTTTTAATAACATATAATACTTAGTTATAAAAGTCAAAATTACATGCAGGTATATATATTACTGATTACTGTCACTAAAATGTAATGCATCCTTGATGAATAAAAGGATTAATTTCTTACAGAAAATATATACTGACACCCAAACTTTTGAACAGTATATGTTTTCTACTTCATTATAGCTTTTTTATTCACTTTGTAAAATAAAATAAATACAATAAAAATAATTAAAATGATCATTAAAAATAAATTAAAAAATCAATGAAATGAAATAAAATAAAAAGTTAAAGAGTAGTTAAAATAAATGCATTAATATGTGGTTGCCAGGGATTTCTGGGTGGTTGGTAGGTATTTGTTTATTGGGCCAAGTCAGAATATAGAAAATTTGATTGTTCAGAAAAGTAATAGCACACCTTCAGTCAATAAGCAGCATGAAAAACAAAACAAAACAAAACCAAAAGCAAACCAAAAAAACCCAAAGAGCAAACCAAACCAAAACAAAGGAACACCCCCCCCCATTAACAAAAACCCATTATTAATTCAATTCAACAAGCAGCAAAATAAAAAAATTAATAAAAAGAATGGTTAAATTACATGCATTAATATGTGGTTGCTTGGAATTTATAGGTGGTTAAGTATTTATTTACTGGGCCAAAAGCAACAAAAAGCAAAGCAAAGCAAAAAAAAAAAGAAAAGAAAAAAAGAAAACAAAACAAATCAAAGGGAAAAAACAAAACAAAAAATAAAACCCAATTCAGATTATTCAATTCAACAAGCAGCAAACCATAAATAAAATAAAATAAAAAAACACCCCATTTTTAAATCTGGGTTCAAAAACAAAAAATGCTAATGTTTCTCATGTCAACCTATAGATTATGGATGGAGACTGGGGAAATCATCAGTTGTTCAGATCAATAAAATGATTTCAAACAACAGCAGCAGGCTTGTGCATGAATCAAAATAAGAATTGGCTCCCTTTCAAGTCATGAGTTGGACGCCCCACAGGACATCGAATTGAATTGAAATTCAACAGTCACACAACAAGAACAGATTTCTTCTTAAGTGTTTCAAGCTTTCCATCTTGCAAACCTGCTTCACATCGTTTGGCTCCCTTCCAAAGACTCTGCAGACTTAAAGCATTCATTGAAGTAGCAAACAGATTCTACTCACAGTTGCATAATAAGATACAAATGAGTGGGGCTCTCATAAATGTCTTCCAGTGCCACAATGTTCTCATGCTTGATCCTGAAAAGAACAGATGAAATAATTGATCAATCACAGCAAACCAGAGCCGCACATGAGTGGATTATGAAGCCTTTGTTTTGGATGGCAGAAGTTCGTTCCCGTACACCACAGCATACGTTCTGGGCTGGTATGTTGAGCTATTTTATTCATGCAGATGGTGAAAACAAAAGAAATTCCCAAATGTAACTCGCTAAACAAAGATTCTATCATTCTGACCACTGCATCTCCAATCCAGCTGCAAGCTGCAGCGTTTTTACTCGCCAACGTTTTACCATGACAACCACGGACCTGCGCTCGGCCTCAACGTGCGGTGAATAGAGGTCTGCGGCGGAGGCCACGTGAATCATTTGTACGGCCTTTAAAATGCTTCCGACGCTTTTGACAGGGACAGGTAGGAGTCAGTAAAGGTAGGAGGCTGTGAGGGGCGTGTCGTAAAGGCTGAGTCATCTCTCTCGCTCTGTGGAGAAAGGCTCAAACTCCCACTAACAGCTTCCTTTGAACTTTAGTGTTTCTGTAGCTGAGGAACTTGTGTAAAGCATGTAATGGGTGTTGGGTTTGTTATTTTGGGAGCTTTTAGAATACTTACTTCCTCAGCACTGCAATCTCATTTTCTATTCCGCTCTCTTTTCCTCTTAGTGCTTTTTTTGGAATGCATTTCACGGCGTACATCTCTCCTGTGGCCTTCTCTTGGGCCAGGACCACCTCAGAAAACGCCCCACTGGAAAAAAGCATGAAAGAAAGGCTAAGTGTAAAATAGTGGTTGGAGATTTTTTTGAATACAGAAAAAGGACAGAAACAAAATAAGGTGCTTGCAAGGTAAGCAGCGTATAGTAGAGTGTAATAGTCTGAAACAATAATGAAAATTGCATAATACAATAAAATAAAAAAATTAATTAGTAGTGCTTTAGATAGCCAGAATAAAATAGAACAAAATTAAATAAAACATAAAATAAACATTAAATTAAACATACAATAAAACAAGACAGCCTAGAATAAAATAAAATAAGCAGTTGTGGGGCAGAAGCATAGTAAATAAATAAATAAATAAATAAACAAACAAACTAGTGATTTAGACAGCCTACAAAGGGAAAATAAAAATAAATAAATAAAAAAATGCTTTAGAAAGCCTACAAAGGGACAGAAGCATAAAATAAAAAGAAACAATTATTAAATAAAATAAAAATAGTAGTGCTTAAGGCAGCCTACAAAGAGGCAGAAGCATCAAACAAAATAAAATAAAAAACAGTTGTTAGACAGCATACAAAGGGACAGAACCAAAATAAAATAAAATAAAATAAAATAAAATAAAATAAAATAAAATAAAATAAGCATTTGTGGGGCAGAAGTATAATAAATAAATAAATAAATAAACTAGTGATTTAGACAGACTACAAAGGGAAAATAAAATAAATAAATAAAAAATGCTTTAGACAGCCTACAAAGGGACAGAAGCATAAAATAAAATAAAAAAGGGACAGAAGCATAAAATAAAATAAAAAAGGGACAGAAGCATAAAATAAAAAAATTATAGGCAGCCTACAAAGGGAGAGAAGTATAAATAAAATAAAATAAAATAGCAGTGCTTCAAACAGCCTACAAAGGGGCAGAAGCATAAAACAAAAAAAAAACAAAAAACAAAAAAAACAGTAGACAGCCAGACAGACAGTAACAAAATAAAATAAAAAAATACTGCACAATCATTTGATTTAACCTATTTATGAGCATTTCAAATACTAAGGACCCACTTAAAATGTCTGTACTTCTTCAAATATTTGTTTAAACCAAAGCCAAATCTGTACGCACACATTCATGTCTGCTGTGATTCTGTAGGGATGTTGTATCATATGCACTATGTGTAATCAGTTGGCCATTGTGGCTTGCAGCTAAGCCTTTATTGGTCACTGAAAATCCGCTTTAATTCCTCGGCACACACAGTCATTTACAAACACTAACATGAGCACTCGCCGCAATCCGGAAAGCTTGTAACAAAAGGCCGTATTTCAGTCAAAAGGTTTCCTGAACCATTTACCAAATATAGGGCTTGGTGCTTTGCCAAAATGAAGCATTTGTCATCTGTTTCTTAAACTTTAAAATTTAACTCTCATCTGCGATTGAAACGTAAGCCCTTCAGGAGGCTAGAAATGTAGTGACTCATTGGCTGAGCGCCCAGCAGGTTGAGTACTTTGTAAGCTATGTGTTCATATAAGAGTGTGAGATTGCAGTGGGCGCAGCGTTCATCTCTGCAAAGGATTAAACTAGAAGAAAAACAACAGCATTAGACAACAGAGTGCATTAAACATCAGATTTAACACATATGTAATTCAGACATCTTTCACAGGACAACGTGAGCGGTGTTTTCCGGTGCAAACGGTGCTGGAGTGTTATGGATGGTTGCCAGGAAGTTGCTAGGCGGTTGTTAAGATGTTCAGAGTGGTATGCATTGCTATGCAGTTGCTAGAGAGTTATGGGTGGTTGCTAGGTGACTGTTTATTGGGCCAAGTCAGAACATAGTAAATATGATTGTTTAGAAAGTAATAGCACACCTCGTCAACAAGCAGAATGAAAAAAGAAAAAAAAAAGAAGGACAAAATAAAACATAGCAAATTTGATTGTTTGGAAAGCAATAGCATACCGCTATAGTCAATTAGCAACACACACACACACACACACACACACACACACACACACACACACACACACAAACAAACAAAACAAACAAACAAATAAATGTGATTGTTTAGAAAGTAATAACACACCTCATCAACAAGCAGCATGAAAAACAGCAATTCAAATTATTCAATTCAGCAAGAAGCAAATAATAATAAAATAAATTGAATAAAAAATAAAATAAAAATGGTATTGCACTGGTTGCAAGGGAGTTATGGGTAACACACCTCAAGTCAACATTAAAATAAACAATAAATAAAAGAAACAAAAGAAAAGAAATTAATATAAAATAAAATAAAACACAACAAACTTAAAGGGTTAGTTCACCCCAAAATGAAAATTCTGTCAATTTTCAAAAAACTTCAATTTTGTGAAGTTACGATAATACTTTTTGTGCGCAAAGAAAACAAAAATAACAATTTATTTAACAATTCTTCTCCCCCAAGTCTTCCGCCATTATGGAGAGTACCCAAGAATGTAATCAGCGTTGTTTACGTTCGAGGTGGGGGGGGAGAAGAATTGTTGAATAAAGTCATAATTTCTGTTTTCTTTGCACAAAAAATATTATTCTCGTAGCTTCGCAAAATTGAAGTTGAGCCACTGATGTGACATGGACTGTTTTACAGATGTCCTTACTACGTTTCTGGACCTGGGAACATTACAGTTGCCTTGCTGTCTATGGGAGGGTCAGAGAGCTCTCTGATTTAATCAAAAATATCATAATTTGTGCTCCGATGATGAACGAAGGTCTTACGGGTTTGGAACGACATGAGGGTGAGTAATTAATGACAGAATTATTATTTTGGGGTGAACTAACCCTTTAATTGTATAGAAAGTAATAGCACACCTCAAGTCAACAAACAGCACCAAAAAACTAAACAAACAAAAACAAAAACGAAATAAAAACCCAACGCAAACCAAAATACAAAACAAATAAAAAAAACAAACCCTATAATTCAAAGCAAATAAAATAATAATAAAAATAACATAAAATAAAGAGTGGTTCTGATTGGGCCAAGTCAGAACATAGCAAATTTGATTGTTTAGAAAGTAATAGCACACCTCAAGTCAACAAGCTGCACGAAAAAACAAAACAAAATTTAACCCAGAAAAGAAAAAAAAATACAAAACAAAACCAAACAAAACAAAACCCAGAAAAGAAAAAGAATACAAAACAAAACCCAAAACCTATAATTTGGGTGATTCAGTTCAACTAGCACAAAAACAAAACAAAACAAAACAAACTAAATTAATTAATAATAATAATAATAATAATAATAAAAAAAAACAAACAAACAAACAAAAAAACAGAACAATTCCAAGAGGGCCCTAATAAAATAAATAAAAAAGAACAATATCTTTCTAACTAATATACAGTAGAGTGCAATAGAGTAGTTATTTCAATTTTTGCCATCAGTCTGATGTCAGTCAACCAACAGCAGAGAAAATCATCAAAGCCACAGGAAGTGTAAACTTTCAGAAACTCAATGCCATGTGTGTCACACCTTGAGGTAAAGGCTATGAAAGCATGACCGTTAACCCACATCCACTGACCTTCATGTGCTTTGTGTTCCTTGACTGTAAAGTACATTTTGCAACAAAGCTCTTCTCTGGAAAGCATGCATGTGTTTGCCTATTACACTCCTCATTTGCATAGCATGAGGTTAACGAGGAAGAACTAGTCTTCATATATCATGACTATGTGGTTTATGACCTCAATGCTAATGCTGAATTTCTCAAGCAAATGTCAGTTTTATAACTCTATATATAAGCGTATGGGATGTGGGTGTAGTCACACATTATGGGATGTGAGGGAACTTCAATTCAGAACAGAGCAGCTAAAATAGATTTATTTAGAGGAATAATTCAACCAAAAAAGGAACTTTTTGTCATTTCAACAATGACATACTGAACTTGCGCGACCACAACCTCAGGTTAATTCAGGAAAACTAGCACCTCCACTTGGAAGGTGACAGGATTAAGACGGGATTAATCTAAAATTAACGGATTAACACTACACTGATGGTATTTTCTCATTTAGAAATGCCTAAAGCGGTACAAACGGAGTTTGAACAATAGAGACTGTGTGGATGGGTGGAGATTGTGTGTAGGTTTTTGTTGACTTATTGTGTGTAGGAAAGTCTGAGCTATTTCTGACAAGAAATAAAATGCGGCCAAAGCCATACAACCAAAACAACAGGTGTCATTGTCTTTGCATAAATCGAAAACATGCTTGCATGCAGATTCCATCCCATTACAGAATATATAATATAATAGTGTTTTAGAGTGCCTAAACATCTTTAACTTACTGTAAAGCATAGCTGATATCATAAAAGGCACAGATGAATAATAACTAGGTATAATTTAATTTAATATGAATAATAATACGAAGAATAAACAACTTTTCTGCCAAAGTAATCTAACTGGAAAAGTGCTATAGGAACTTGGTACATTATTATTATAGAAATACAAAATCTGCATGCTGAATTCTATGATTTCTAAGAATGTATTTTTAAACAAACATGTCTGTGAGCGGTTTTCAGTTTAGTGCATCTGGAAAATCTTGTGTAAGGCGTATTAGAGAATATGTCATGTCATCTTCAGGATGGGAAATCCTAGAGAGATAATCCAAAACATATTCTAGATTTATGCTTGTTCTTGGTCAAATTTAGCACACATCATTGCAACAGCTTTTAACATCTACTACCAAATGGAATTCTATTTTTATATTAGACTATATTAAATATATAAACTACCGTTCAAAAATGTGGAGTCGAAGATTTTCTGGAGTCTCTTATGCTCACCAAGGCTGCATTTATTTAATCTAAATACAGTAAAAACAGTAATATTGTGAAATATTATTGCAATTTTAAATAACGCTTTTCTATTTTAATATATTTTAAAATGTAATTTATTCCTGTGATGCAAATCTGAATTCTCAGCATCATTACTCCAGACTTCAGTGTCACATGATACCTTCAGAAATCACTCTGATATGCTGATTTCCAGCTCAAGAAACATTTAGTATATTATTATCAATGTTGAGAACAGTTATACATTATTTACGTAATATTAATATTTTAGTAATAATAATATTTTTATGGAAACTGTGATAGCCTACATTTTTTCTGCAATTATTTGATCAAAAGAAAGAACAAAAGAACAGCATTTATTTGAAATAGATTTTTGTTTGTAACAGTGTAAAAGTCTTTACTCTCACTGATAAAGATAAATTAAATATGAATTTCTTTCCAAAAAAAAAAAAAACCATGGTCCAAACCTTTGAATGGTAGTGCATATAAGTTTAAAATTTAATTTATTAAACATATAATTAATATATACATTTATGTTTTACAAAACCAATTTTAAGCATTTATGCATAAGCTTTTGGATCAAAAAGTTTAAAGATCATGACAAATAAAATCACTCCAGTGTGTTCAAACTTTTGGTGGTATAATTTAGGGATCTTCGTTCCTGTTCCTAAAGAGTTTTAAGCTGCATCCGAAATCAAATACTTCCCTACTATATAGCATGCAAAATTAAAAAATGTAAAAAACAACAACAACAAAAGCAGTATACCAAAATTATAGTATGTCCGAATTCATAGTATTCGAATATAGAACCTACTTTTTTAATAGTCGTGAAGTAAGTTCAAACTCAAACGTAGTACCTACTAAGACGGTACCTGATTTCGGACGCACCGTTAGTTTCAGCTCCAACACACCTGCTACAAATTTTCAAGTATAGTCCCGAAGACCTCTATTAGCTTGTTAAGCTAAACTCTGCAGGAAGTGGGTCTTCTCCAGGAGCAGACTTGAAAACTTAGGGTGTAATTCATGCTGTTGGTGATGACGAATGGCCATTGCATCATAATCACCATAATCTTTGAAATCAGAACTCAAATGACTGGAATAATGGGGGACTGGAATAATGGAATAATGACATCCTCCAAGCATTAGAATGACCTTAAAAGCTCTTCTACAATGGTGTGTGCACAACACAATAAAAAACTATTATAATCTGGACATGCAAAGAGCGAGACTTGAGAAACAGAAAACCTGGAAACTGTATAGTCTTTCCCCTCTTCTGCAGTCATACAAGTCAAACAGTCAGATTGAGACAATCAGCACATGTGCAAACACGACTTGTGATTCCTGCTGTTGGACCGCTGAGATGTAATACGGTATCAGAGTCTGGGACAAGGAAGCATGTAATTTGGAGTATACTCTATGAGGTGTAAAGCTATTGTAACTGGCGGGACTAATGGAGCTTCTATACAAATAAAAACATTTACAGGTCAGGATTGGTCTGTATCCACTAAAGCTGCCGGTAAATCCTTTTGTAAGAGACTTTTGGTGTGCTATTGTAAAAACGTTATGTAATACAAATCTCCATCGTGTTATAATGTCTGTTTGTGACCCAAGCATCCTCATCTGACTTATACACACATTATCTTTTAGATGTTTGGAAAATGCACTGAATTAAAAATTTTTTTTTTTAAATTAAATTAAAAAATAAGATACAAAATTTGAGCTCATCTGCCTTATATAGACATAAATTAAATTAATAAAATTCAATAAAATAAATATTTGAGCTAATCTGCCTTATATAGAAATAAATTAAATTAACAAAATAAAATAAAATAAAAAAAGATATTTGAGGAACGATTCATGCCTGACCTGACCATAATCATCTGCCTTAAACACATTATCTTTAGATGTTTGGAAAAGGTACTGAATTGAAAACTTAAATTAAATTATAAAAGTATAAATACTAACTAAAAATATAAAACAAAAATAAAATAAAATAAATATTTGAGCTCATCTGCCTTGTATAGACATACATTAAATTAACAAAATAAAATAAAATAAAATATTTTAAGTATCATTTATGCCTGACCTGACCACAATCATCTGCTTTAAACACATTATCATTAGATGTTTGGAAAAGGCACTGGATTGAAAACGTAAATTAAATTTACAACAAAACAAAACAAAATAAAAAGTAATAAAATAAAATATTTGAGGTAGCAGTGACCTGACCATAATCCTGTGCCTTATGAACATATCTTTAAAAAGGCACTAAATTGAAACAAATTAAATAAAAATTTTTTTTTTTAAATAATTAATTTAAATTAAGTACAAGAATGGTAAAAGACTATGATATAGCACAGATGCATTGCAATCAATTCCTGATTAACTGTTTTGAAAATTATCCATAGTTCATTTTACAATGGTGCTGAACGTGTCAGCTAAGGGACTATCACAGTTTACAGGACAAGTAAAAAAATAAATGAATAAATAAAAACCACACAAATGGTGAAAGATGAAAAAAATGTTCTCTCTCTAAGGGACATAAAAATAAATACCTGTCCTGTTTTTAGTCCCTGTACACCATATAAATAGACATCTCTTGGTCTATTTCAAGGAATTACTACACTCTAAAAAATGCTGGGTTAAATACAACCCAGTGCTGTGTAAAATAGGGACAAAGCCAGCAATTGGGTTGTTTTGACCCAGCGGTTGGGTTACTACCCAGAAGGTTGGGTTGAACATTTAACCCAACCGCTGGGTCAAAACAACCCAATTGCTGGCTGCTACAACAGAAGAGGAACAGTTGTTCATGTCAACATAAGGCCATGTTGCCGGATGTGGCGGATGTGGGGTGACTGAAGAAGGCCTGCACATTAAAACCCGCTATGCCAAGTAGGTTAAATATGGATTTTATGGATTTACATATTATGCATTGATACAGACCACATTGCCCACATCAAAACACCCTATTATATGTCTGGTTCAATATGCAGCTATGCAGTTTATAAGAACAAATAAGGGACTGCTGTTATACACTATCACCTTAGTCACAGGGTAGACAGTTTTACAGTTCATTTAGCCATTACTAGTCTTGCGCTCAAGGTCATGAAACAAAGTGTTTATTAGAAGCAGAAAGCTGATATTGCTACAACCATCCAGCTGTCTATAATCAATTTGTTTACCCTATAAATCATGGGAACAGTGTTGACTGACAAACCCTACAAAAAATGTAAGATAGTGATTTTAAGAAAGCAGGATTTTAAATCACTAATAGGATTAAAAAAAAAATGATTACATGATAGTTTTATTTTTACATTTATTGAATTAAATTTCATTTTAATAATTATATATCATGGTAACAGGTTGACGGATAACCTGGGGATGCAAATTCAAGTCTTTTTTTTATTTCAACCAGTCTACTAACATCTCAATAAATAATATAAACATGTATGGAAAGTAAAGTGTTATTAGAAAAATTATTTAATGCTGATATTTATTTATATATAGGATTATAATATATATTATCTTTTTAATTATGATCGATTTCATGAGACAGATAGACAGATAGATAGATTTAATTTCAGTAATTATTTATGATTGTAACAGGATTGACAGATAACCTGGGGGATGCAAATTAAGTCTTTTTTATTTATTTAACCTGTCTATTAACGTCTGAATAAATAATATAAGTATATGCCTATAAGTAGAGCAGGCTAAATACAATAGTCTATACCAGCTTTTATTTTCATAGGATATATACATAGCTTATGCAAATGAGTGTCCTGTCCTTACACATAACGTTATATTCATGAGGGACAAAAAACGCAACATTTTCTCGAGTCACTGAGCCAGAAAAATAAGCTTTCACTTTTTAAGCCATTTATAACCCAGCAAATATGGGTTTAATGTGATGATTAAGTGAAGTATTTCACCTCAATATTCTCACATGTCAAACTTTGAGAACGCAAACTGGAGGATATTGACTCTCTGATATGGAGATTACGATCGCCGTCAGTCATTCACAATGTCAAAGTATCATTCATACTCACGTCCCGAGGATTTCCTTAAATTCAAATATCTTCCTGATGTCATCCACTTGCTTTTTCCACGATCCATTCACAGATTCCTCGCTTCCCCCGGCCATGGTGCTTCCAGGGTGAGCGCTGCCTCCGAATAACCTTCTTAACGCGTCAATCTTTCCAGCCTTACAGGAAACACAAAACACAAACGGATAAAGCCGCGAACGCGAGTATCGGTCTCTGTGACTGTGCGACAGGCTTTAATCGTTGCCCGCATTCCGTTTCATGCCGCCCGGTTACGGTACCGCCAACAGAACGAGGACTGACCAGCGCACAGCGACTAATCCAATCCCGCCTCACTGACTCACCGCGCTCGAGCTGAACCGACAGAACGTGTAACGCGCGCGCAAATGCGTGATTCCGTGTTCTCGAGGTATTGAAGTAGGGCTGCTGTACCGCACCGGTTGACAAATGATGCAACTGTTGCCCGGTAAATAACCGGTGAGCGCGTGAGGGATGACAGCAGACGGCTGAACAGACTGCGTCAGGAACGGTACACCTGCTGCGTCAAGAGTAATACTGCACTTATCATTAGCCATACAAACTCTGTAAGTGAGGAATATTTCATTGCTGCTACAACAGAAGAGGAACAGTTGTTCATGTCAACATAAGGCCATGTTGCCGGATGTGGGATATTAAAAGTGACTGAAGAAGGCCTGCACATTAAAACCCGCTATGCCAAGTAGGTTAAATATGGATTTAAAATGCATACATATTATGCATTGATACAGACCACATTGCCCACATCAAAACACCCTATTATATGTCTGGTTCAATATGCAGCTATGCAGTTTATAAGAACAAATAAGGGACTGCTGTTATACACTATCACCTTAGTCACAGGGTAGACAGTTTTACAGTTCATTTAGCCATTACTAGTCTTGCGCTCAAGGTCATGAAACAAAGTGTTTATTAGAAGCAGAAAGCTGATATTGCTACAAACATCCAGCTGTCTATAATCAATTTGTTTACCCTATAAATCATGGGAACAGGGTTGACTGACAAACCCTACAAAAAATGTAAGATAGTGATTTTAAGAAAGCAGGATTTTAAATCACTAATAGGATTAAAAAAAAAATGATTACATGATAGTTTTATTTTTACATTTATTGAATTAAATTTCATTTTAATAATTATATATCATGGTAACAGGTTGACGGATAACCTGGGGATGCAAATTCAAGTCTTTTTTTTATTTCAACCAGTCTACTAACATCTCAATAAATAATATAAACATGTATGGAAAGTAAAGTGTTATTAGAAAAATTATTTAATGCTGATATTTATTTATATATAGGATTATAATATATATTATCTTTTTAATTATGATCGATTTCATGAGACAGATAGACAGATAGATAGATTTAATTTCAGTAATTATTTATGATTGTAACAGGATTGACAGATAACCTGGGGGATGCAAATTAAGTCTTTTTTATTTATTTAACCTGTCTATTAACGTCTGAATAAATAATATAAGTATATGCCTATAAGTAGAGCAGGCTAAATACAATAGTCTATACCAGCTTTTATTTTCATAGGATATATACATAGCTTATGCAAATGAGTGTCCTGTCCTTACACATAACGTTATATTCATGAGGGACAAAAAACGCAACATTTTCTCGAGTCACTGAGCCAGAAAAATAAGCTTTCACTTTTTAAGCCATTTATAACCCAGCAAATATGGGTTTAATGTGATGATTACGTGAAGTATTTCACCTCAATATTCTCACATGTCAAACTTTGAGAACGCAAACTGGAGGATATTGACTCTCTGATATGGAGATTACGATCGCCGTCAGTCATTCACAATGTCAAAGTATCATTCATACTCACGTCCCGAGGATTTCCTTAAATTCAAATATCTTCCTGATGTCATCCACTTGCTTTTTCCACGATCCATTCACAGATTCCTCGCTTCCCCCGGCCATGGTGCTTCCAGGGTGAGCGCTGCCTCCGAATAACCTTCTTAACGCGTCAATCTTTCCAGCCTTACAGGAAACACAAAACACAAACGGATAAAGCCGCGAACGCGAGTATCGGTCTCTGTGACTGTGCGACAGGCTTTAATCGTTGCCCGCATTCCGTTTCATGCCGCCCGGTTACGGTACCGCCAACAGAACGAGGACTGACTAGCGCACAGCGACTAATCCAATCCCGCCTCACTGACTCACCGCGCTCGAGCTGAACCGACAGAACGTGTAACGCGCGCGCAAATGCGTGATTCCGTGTTCTCGAGGTATTGAAGTAGGGCTGCTGTACCGCACCGGTTGACAAATGATGCAACTGTTGCCCGGTAAATAACCGGTGAGCGCGTGAGGGATGACAGCAGACGGCTGAACAGACTGCGTCAGGAACGGTACACCTGCTGCGTCAAGAGTAATACTGCACTTATCATTAGCCATACAAACTCTGTAAGTGAGGAAGAATCTTTGATAAACGGTCTGTTTAAATAAACAGTACACACTAATACAGCCAAGAATAATAAATATTTCCAAGACACTACTACAGGTGAATAGGGTAATTTTTTTTCAAATAAGACATCACCATACTTACCTAGTTGATTTACCACCGTACGTTAAGACAATTGTTTTGGTTTAGCCTACAAGTTCTCTGAAACAGTATGCTTAAATATGCAAATGATGGATTAGCTATTGAAATATACACTAATTTGCATACATTTGACGTCTGAACATTAATAAAGCTAGGTTTAAAATCCTTGTTTCATTTTGCTGACATATTAAGGTTTTTATAAAAGGGATTTCGGATATGTTTTTATCACAACATAAATAAAAATAATGTCAATACCCTACCCATATCACCATGTTTTTAAGAATAAAATGTTATATAAATCAGTTGAATGAAGTAGAAATTTCAGGGCAGAAAATTCTCAAATTTTTCAAGGAAAAAAGCTCTAAAGACAAATAGGAAAAGTATAACAAATTAACACTTAAGAAGACATGTTAAGGAAACAAAATGGCTCAAAATATCATAATTGACTAGTGCATGAAAAAAAGTTTTGTCTGTAGTGTCCTGTCTTAATTAATATTAACAGCTTAATATTCCAAAACCGAAAACGCAGTAATGCTGTTAAAATACTAAATTACCTACTTTTGCTTCTTATGAATGAACTTTTCAAGGTTATAATTTTTTCACGAATGTCTAAAAGAAACATGAATTGTAATTCATTTGAATTGATTGATTGATTAAGAATGAATATACGAAACGACAGACAAACAGGTTTAATTATTAATATTTTGCTTTGCATGATGAATATGTTAATGGTAAATTATCAACTTTTTTTTTCATTACTATTTATTTGATTTTTTATCTCCAGAATAAGTATTCAAGTACAAATTCAGTTACACTTTTCAAGGTTATAATTTTTTCACAAATGTCTAAAAGAAACATGAATTGTAATTCATTTGAATTGATTGATTAAGAATGAATATACGAAACGACAGACAAACAGGTTTAATTATTAATATTTTGCTTTGCATGATGAATATGTTAATGGTAAATTATCAACTTTTTTTTTCATTACTATTTATTTGATTTTTTATCTCCAGAATAAGTATTCAAGTACAAATTCAGTTACATCCACACAACACTGTGACTACTGAAAACAATTCATATAATTCACCATTATAAATTGGATTGGATGGGTTTATCATGGGTAAACATTCACAGGCAACTTTGCGTACAACGCTCGAGCTCGTCGTTTTCAGCTCTATTGTCAGTTGTTTTCAATTAAATCTTTCACTTCGTAAACACGTAACAATCGATTCTTTGTTGTTATTTCCCACTGATTCTACATTCATCTGGAAAGAGTTGATTCCAAGCATCCCTTAATTCACATGCACACATTTAATGCACCAATGATTTGATCGTGAGCCACTACCAGTTCACAACACAATATTCATGTCATCGCCACAACGATAATTATTTATATTCTCTTCTTTGCCTCCATTCAGTCTTCCGCCCTCTGCACGTATATCAAATTTCATTTAAAAGTGCTTCGAAAACGTTTTCTACATTACTTCTATACAATAAATTTTTTTTTTTGTGCCAAATATTACTTTGAAATATCAATTATGATATATTGATAAACTGATTTAGATGTCAGTAAGAAATATTCAGCCAACAGATGTTCCCTTGTACCTAATAAAGGGACGCATTAAACAGTCAAACCTGCAATATGCCTCTGTTTAGCACTCAGGCTACAAACAGAGCTCGGCGTTTGTTGTCAGTGTACCAGTCATAGATTGTTTGCTACAATAAGACGATAATTTCTTGAAGTTGATGGTTGCGTGGTTTCAGGAGAAAGACGCGGTCAGGATGGCTTCATGCTGCTGATGGTGGAGAGTACCGATGCCCACGGCAGGAGCGGGTAATGCTGGTCTGCTGACTGATCTCAACTGAGGAAACAAATGACGAGATCAGCATCAATCATTTTGCAATAAATCAGTGTTAATTTGACGAATGTCGTGATTTTAAGCTAAGAGGCCCTCTATTAGCTGAAGTGGTGAACCTGACCTTGCAGGCTAACTGTTTTTCAAATCTGGGTGATACAAATGACCAGCAGCCCATGTTCTGTGGCTCCTCTTGACTCCAGATAAACTCTGTAATGGAAAAGGAAAATATATAATGTGATATAATATAATAAATACATTTGTTTCCAATAGTGTTTGCTATTTGCATGTTCACAACTAGTAACACAACACTGTAACAGGAAATAAATATACAAAACTGTTCAAAGGTTTGGGTAAAAAAAAAGTCAGTCAGATTTTTTACAAATAAATTAGTATTTTTATTTATCAAAGATGCATTAAATAGATTAAAAGTGATATTAAAAGACATTTTTAACGTTTCGAAAGATTTTTCATGTTCTTTTAATTTTCTATTCATCAAGAAAAAACAAATATATATCAGTTTGCACAATAATATTAAGCAGTTCAAGCCTGTTGTCTGTATATTAAACTGTTTTCAACATCGATAATAAGAAAATGTTTCCTGAGCACAAAATCTGCATATTTCTAAAAGAATTAGGAGCTGCTTAAAATTCAGCTTTGCCACTACATGAATAAATTACATGTTAAAATATATTCAAATAGAAAAGAGTTATTTTAAACTGTAAATTAGCTTTTACTTCATTTTTGAAATACTTCAAATAAATGCAGCCTTTGTGAGCATAAGAGACTTTTTTTTTTTTTTAATCCGACACCACATTTTTGAATGTTATTGTGTGTATAATAAACATAAATATCAGGTAAAACTGTATTTGTATTAATCAGATTCAACTATTTTTAAATAATTATATTTCATTAAATAACGAAAAACATATATAATTTTGTATTTACTTTTTCATCTGTGTAGTGTGTAGTTTATGAACATTAACATTTTCGAAGCACCTCTGCATTGGGAACACATTTACAATTCCTTACAAAGGCCCCTCACAGAGCAACTGCCACTGAACCAAAG